AATGTTAAAATAAAACTATGTGCGTTGTCTACCTAATTATACAAATTAATATTAAAATGACGGTCATAGCAAATACAACTTAAGTAGAGGGGGGAGAGCGGGGCTGAACGTTCCGATTTTCGAATAAGTTGAAGTTTTATACTGAAAATGAAGTATTTGATTTTCAACATGTGGAAATATTAAACAAATTTTTATCGCTTTTTGTAATAGTATTGTCACTTCTACTAATATTTCAATAGTCTTTTTCATAGAGGCAAATTTTTGACAAATTTCGGAGCGGAACATTCTGCCCCGCTTTGGGGCGCGTTGTTTCGCTTTTAAGGCAAATTGTTCCGCCTAAATTATTTCAGGATAACAAAGATTTTCTTAAATAAAACCACCTTTTTTATAATTGTATGTATGTAATGTTTATATTATGCACTAACTTAAAAAAAACTATATTCTTATTCATCAGTAATATTATTCATAGCTCATTTCTTCATCTGAATCACAGTTGAGACACACATAAGTGACTCTATCATCTTGTCTAAATGTTTGACATGAGCCCCTTTGTAGTTTCGCATCCTTAAAACAAAGAAAAATGGTCATAAAAATTTTAAGTATGATTGCAGATCAATTGGGGAAGTTGTTCCTAGGAACAACCAGCCCCTGGAGGAAGGAACTTATAGCCCCAAATTACGTTTTTATACGAAGACTGACATACTGGCAAAGTAATAGAATCAATGAAAAAAATACTCAAACAATAAGATTACTTACTAATGTCACTACAATTTGGAAAAGTTACGTATGAATCGACCCATAATAAATAAAGACAGACCAAAGAATTTAAACAAGAAAAAATGTACTTACGTGATGTTTTGACATCTCCACGCACATAGCCACACTTCCGTCGTCTCTGGAGTAACTGAAATGGCTGCCGGCAATGCGCATCACCTGACGCTTTAACGACATATTTCACATGTATTGCTATATATTATTCTTGCAAAGTTATTGATGTGAGAACAACTTACCCTGGGAACTACCAGCCCCGGTCGCCCCTACAGTTTCGTTGTAATTTCTATACAGACAGACAAATTTCCTAAAGTACCGACATCGCTGAAACTTTACCAAAAAAACCTGTCGTAAATTCTTTGTTGATTCGAGGTACTTTCATGTCTTTATATGTGTGTTTTTAAAATTATTAATTAAAACCATTAACATTTTGTATGCTTCACAATATGATGGAACATAATTTATGTAACATTGTTTGGTACTGAAAGTAAAACACAATAATATACGATGTGCTCTAATACCTATGTACTACAAAACAAAATTTACAATAGATAGCACAGACTCTAAGTGATAATTAAATATACAATACGTTGCATGTTTTACAATTAAAGCTTCAACTTTAAATTATCAAACACTGTGAGCAATGTACTATCATTTACTAGTCTTTACTCGTGTTACCTTAGGATCTTCCCTAAATTCTTTGCAACATCAAAGTATTTGCCGTTTTTTAATTGTCCAGCATGAACATCAAAGTGCAAAACAATTGCCTATATATCTCAGCAGTTCCTAATATTTGTAAACAAAAATGTTAACAAGATGACAGCTCGGCACTTTGCCAACTCTAATTTCTGGGAAATACCTATTTAAAGCTACTTAAAGGCTCTCTTCTTTGTATTATTTTATGTGTTGTTAGGTCTCCGGTCGTATTCTAAATTGTCATAAATGTTTAAATCTGGTTTGTTCTTACTGGAGCAACGACTTAAGAATAAGGCTGAGAATTCAAAGATCAAAATGCTAATAGGTAACCGTTAACTAAATGTTTTTGTAATTTAGGATTGATTGAAGACATTATCTTATGAAGTAAGTAACCTGGAAAAATCCTTCAAATATTTTTTTACCCTTTTACTACTAACATCATAAACAACAACTTTTGTTCCAACACCTTTAATAATTTATGATTTTACTTCGTAGAAAAATAAGTATATTTAAATAGATCACGCTAAACAATGATAACTTTGTGGAAAACGCTAGAGAACTTGTGGGGGGTACGCAAGTTCAAAGATGCAAATGTTTGAACTTACTAATATAGATCTAAAATGTGTCCGATTACAACATAAACTTAAAATTTTATTTTGGTACATTTATTATGTTTTGTTAAAAGTTATGGAACAAAAGTTATTGTTTATGATGTTAGTAATATTATGCTCCTGTAAGGTTGTTAGAATTTAACAAATAATCCTATAATTACCTCTTATTGCAAACTTGCATAGTTTAGAATTTCGATGACGCACCGTTTACGCTCAGCGGTGTGATACGTGTGAATTGCTCCAAACACGCAAAACGTACTGCAATATGATTGTACGGTCATGGCCTAAAATTTTCCATTCAATACTACTTATACCGATATATGTATATAAGACTAATAATATGTACATAATATTTTCATTTACATTGTAACTAATATAGCCCCATTTTATATTTGGTACTCTATTCTAAATAAAGTTGATCATCCATTTGAATTTTCATTATTTGTTTAGAAGTCCAAAAACTGATCATGCAGATAAGTACGTAAAGAACATGCAATAAGAGGTTGTGCAGCGCTCTTGCATCAAGGATCCATTGCGTTGTGACCTAATAACATCGCTCGGCATAATACTCACTTGATGTTCGCGCGGATTCAGCCTTACATAAGCACGTGTACCCGTTTTTCACAGCTGCATGAGCACGCTCGAAGAAACTCCTCATAAACCAGATTTCAACACTTCAACACTTATCTCCATTGCGACACACCACAAGAAAACACCTACACAACCAAATTCTGTGGTCAGTGTTAACACGGCCCGCTTTCGCTTGATGTGCAAACACAGCCTTTCCAATCTTGATTTTAACACTTGCTATAACTAATAAACTTTGCAGTAGACAAGTCCGAAACGGGTGCGTGGTCCAGGGATGGAAAACATTTCACTTTAAATGTCGAAGAGTTTACTTGCTCAAGCGCATACGAGGCGCGAAAAACGGGCGGGCGGTGACGCGCGGCGCTGCAACACCATTGAGAGCGGAGTGCGGACTGCGGAGTGGTCTGCGTGAGTGATGGCGCGCCTCGAGACGGCGTTCGTCGCTCCGGAGAGGTAGAGGTGGAGGCGTTGTAGCCGCGATCTTGCGAATCTCGCCATCAAAACATTTACGCAGCCAGCTCCGGCGCCCTAGAAACGGCCGCGGCCGGCCGGTGACCGGCGCACTCGCCTGCATAACTCACTTTCGCTGTCAGACGTCCCGTTTTCATAATTAGCTTTTCCCTTTAAAGTCGTTTTAAATAACACACAGGTGAACAATATGTAATCTATCTAGCCATGGCAAAAACTCATGTACATTTCTCCAAATGAAATAGACAATTCATGACTGAATCTTATGTTGTTCCTTCTTTCAATTATATAATACAATCAAACACGTCTACCAGCTTATTTACCTAATTTGTTAAAAATCTAGTTGAGTTGCAATTAAGTTACATCTCTTAAAATTAAAATGCTAAAATGTCATACCTAAGGCGATTGATAAAAATAAAGCCGGCGTTCATCTAAGGTACGGCTTGAACCCGTTTAAATATCGTACGTAACATCATTATTTACGCATACGCCACATTAGTTACTAGACCAATAAATCAGTACGTAGTGTGCAAGCACTACTATTCTGTGTATATACGTGGTTTTGCATGCACATTGCGTGTTTTGTGACGTATTCTCTGCAGGAGTTTATGTTACCAGGGTTCAAGAAAATCGTCATTGATAATAATTATAATATTTTTATTTATAGAGTTAATTGGAACAACAAAATGCTACCGCTAGCAATGTCGTGCCATGTGTTTGTATCAGAGACGTATCCAAACGTGTCAAATGTGAAAGTCTCAAACCAAAACGTTTTCCTAAAGATTTTTATTAGAAGAGTGTTACAAGTAGTAAGTAAGAAATAATCTTTAAAATATAGTGATTCTTTATAATATGCATTTTCAAAAAATTTTGTGTTAGTTATTTTGTGATGTTCAAATAATAAAACAATTTATTGTTAGTAAAATGTATTTTTTTTAACTAATATTTTAGTATTTTAATTTTTAGCTCAAAATTAAAAAGAAAAATACTATAAATACACCAGCCCGTTACACCAAGTACCAAGTACCAAGTACTATAAATAAGCATGGAAAATTATCGGATAATTATCAAATCATCAAAGAAAACAAATATCTTGATAATTTCAAAACCCTAGTTATAATATTGCTGTAACCAGGGTTTCGAAAAACCCTGATTACAGCCCTAAACCCTGGGTGATCGTTAATAGGTCATATTTCATCGTTTTCATTGAATGTATCTCTGAACTTGGTGATTTGGAAATATGGATGTTACCATTTAACTATTACAAAAGTAGTTTATATCGAATGTTCGAAAACAGAAAGTTTTCGCAATCTAAAACAAACAACCGTGACTATGGCACCTGTAAAGAGGCTGAAACGTTAATTTATTTGAAAAAACAAAAATATACGGGATTTAGATCTGAAAACAATACTTTAATTTCCAATAGATGTAGTATGTTAAATTGTTTGTTACAACTGACATTTAAATCGAGACATTTTACAATTATTTCTTAAAAATACACTACAAACCTAGTACAAGTATCTTAAGAATATCCACTTTTTATTGATTTGAAAAAGTCGATTGAATAAGCTTAATTGATAATTAATTACATTTGCGTCAAGTTTTTTCCAAATTCTAGTTGACAGATTTCATTAAATGGTCATGATCTCCCGATAACACATCTACTGTTCTTCATTATTTAGCAGTCAAGGATCACAGTCAAACTTTTGTTTTATTTATTTAAACCTATATTTACAGTGATAAACTAACGTTTAGACGTTATGTGAATTAATTTATATCCATTATAAACGTCTAATTTGTAGTAAATATAATATGTTTATATCGACTTCGTAATTTTTCGAATAATTTTAGACAGTTTTGATTCAATATTCAGGATATAAATAAGTTGCAACATCGTGTTGTATAATGAATGTGATATTTTCCATCAAGCAAACAATTTTTAGTGTATTAGGTCCATGTTATTGTAACGGACTACTGTCTAATGACATAATATAATATAATGATATAATTATCAGTAAAACCTAATACTTCAATGTTAGGTTTTATTCATGCGATAAGGAAGTCATGATAAAGTTATTTTAAAATATATGTCCCAGTCAAACATTGGAATTTAATAAATATTGTACTTATAACTTAAAATATTCAAACAAAAAGTGTTGCACATTTTTTCTCGAATCATAGTTACTTTCTTTTTAGTATTTTAGACATTATTAGTATTCTACGAAATCATTATTACTTCAATTATTCATTCATTAGGTACATCTGTTAAAAATTATGTCAAAATTATAACAACTTTATATGTTCTAAGAATACTGAGACTACACAAATCAATACACAGATAATCGTTGACAGAAATGTTTTAGAAACTTCAAATTTTGGACGAATTCTAATAATTATAATTTAATAACTCTTTAATCTGGTAAAAGGCCACTTTAAATATTAACCTTACATCCGAAAGTTAAGGCAAACTTTTAATGGATCACTTAAGTACCTTATGATGCCCTAATACCAATTAAATAAATAAGTCAGATTATTCAACAACACAAAGTGACCGAAAACGTGAGGCGCAATATAAGTTTCTGGAATGAATAAGGAAAAAATAGCGTAAATGGTCAGAAATTAATTAATTGTTTCTCAAAATATTCTCCGTTAGCGTTAATGCACTTTTTCATACGAATGAACCAATTTTGAAAACATTTACGCCACTCCTCCGTAACAATCGCTGAAACATATTTTTCATACTCTTCGACAGCCTCTTCAGGTGATGAAAATCGTTGTCCGTTGATTCTTAATTTTTGGAAATAAATAAAAGTCACACGGTGCCAGGTCGGGACTGCACGCGGGGTGGCTTATAAGGTCAACATTGTTCACCTTCAAAAATTCATTTGTCTGTCTGGCCGTGTGAGAACTGGCAGTATCGTGGTGCAAGATGATACGGCGTTTACGGTTATTTTTACGAAGTTTGCCAATAACTTCCGGCAAACAGATGGTCGTGTACCAATCACTATTCACGGTACAACGATTCTCCAAAGCAACAGTAGCCACGTATCCAGTTTTATTAAAAAAATAAGCAATCATCTGCTTAGAGGCACTTTGCACGCGCGCCACTTTGGTTGGTTTCGGCTCATCTCACAAGACCCATACGCTCGATTGCTACTTTGTTTTGGGATCGTAACTATAAATCCATGTTTCGTCACCTGTTACTATATCCCACACCAAATTTGACGCCCCTTCGTTTAATCTCGTAAGCATGGCCATTGCACGACGTGACGCGATCCGTTTTTGAGCCTCAGTCAAGGGATCCTCCGAGAACACAGCTTTTCACACCCAAATGTTTGTGTAGTATTGACTGTATTTGACTCATGCCTATGCCTAAAGATGCCCGAATCTCATGGTATGTCACATGCCTGTCCGTTTTGATCATACGGTGCATCCTATGAAAATTGAAGTCATAGATTCAAGCCTTCAACCTCTCAGTTGAAAGGCAACGTTACTCTCATTAGGTTATCAACACTCTCAGAAATGTATATAGTCAAATAATATATACATTTAAATGATATACCTGCACTAAGCCAACTCCGTAAAATTCCGAACGGTTCCGAGGTTTCTAAATTCCAAAAACTAGTTATTTATCTAGTTATAAAAAACCCCACAAAAAACGTCGAAGAACTTAAAGTAACATTTTTTCTGTGATGATAAGAAAATTATGGATAGGCACTTAGTGTTTTTATCTAGAAGGTACCCTTGTGTCGATCATACTTTGACAATTACTTTTGTTACCTCGTTTATTTCGTTAAAAGTTCTCATTGTTTTCAGATGATACAGTAGCGGGGACGGTTCTACATTTAAAATCAATTTACATAAGGCTGCGATCACCGCTCTGGGTCGTGGTTGGTTCAGCAAGTATCCATTGCCCTTCAGCGAGGCATTGCTGCTAATATAATGGGAACTTTTGGGCTCAAAAAAAAAAAAAAAAATCTCGCCCCGTATTTTTTTTTAGTTAGATTAGTTTTTTAGGTTAAAAATCTCTTAATTTAGTACCTATTGACGAAGCCCAGTGTCAGCACTTCGTCTAGTTAAAGTTCAGACTTTAACTAGAAATATTAATGTAACATTTGCATTAAGAGAGGAGTAATATGTATGTATGAAAAGTTTAACTATTATTATTTATAAAAAAATATAATCACAATATTCGCAATAAGTTTTATATTAGTTATATATGAAGAAAGAAAAAATCTTGTAAAAACGACTGATATACTCGTATATAAATATAGCGATACATATAGTTAGAAATGAATTACCATTATGCCAAGACGCTATAGACAGATTGCGTAGAATATTATAGAAGGTAGTCTTTGAGGTTGACCCCACGCTCAGTTATACTCTTACGATTTTCATCTCTATTACTCTTGTGATAAGATACAGAACTGTTCAATATTTCAAGTGTGAAATTAAGTGTGCTGTCGATCAATGTGTAAACAATTAATTTTGTCAGTTGTAATTATAGACGGAAAGAGCTCTAACTAATTACGAAACGAGGAGTTCAAAATTACATAACTAAGTCTAGTCACTATATAGTTAAGATAATGAACGATCGCTGACTTCATAGTTTCTAATATGTTAATATTCTTTTAAGGCCAATGCTATTATATGTATTACGTGTATAACATTAAAATACAGTAGCTTTAACGTTGACGTGAGCGAGATCAGTTAAAAATACTCAAGGTTCAGCGAGAACGATCTATGTTTTTGTTCATAAATAAGGAATAAGTTTTAAGCATTACGATAATAACAAAATATAAAAATAGTGGTATTTGAGGATTGTATTGAACTTATTTTGGAAATTCTACAATGCCATGCTCCGGCCCGTAGGGAAGTGCATTCAGCATGAAAACATTTATATACGTTAATTGAAAGTAACTTTTTTAA